AACAATAATAGTAGTAGCGATAAGAATAATGGTAATAATAAATAATAACAGTTTTGATACGTCATGCTATCAATAACAATAGTACTAATAATTCTAATAATGAAACAAAATAATAATAAGGATAATATTTCTATAACCACCATCGATACTGATTAATATATTCAAGTCAAAAAAATATCATCCCATTAGTCTTTCTAACAAACACACACACACACGCGCGCGCGCGCACACACACGCAGTTCACCAACTTTCGATACGAGTCCATTGCAATCTCTACGTTGATCTGTAGTTTTTACATTATTGACGCGTAACATTTCATTGGCAAATTCCTTTGCAATATGCATTAATTCAGACAAATCTATAGGTTATGGAGTATTTTTGGAAAACTTATTATTGTAGTTATTATTATCATTATTGTTATTATTATTATTATTATTATTAACATCATCATCATCATCATTATTATTATTATCATCATTATTACTAGTAGTGGTAGTATCAATATTATTATCATTGTTTTTATTATCATTATTATTATTATTATTATTATTACTATAATTGATGTAATAACAATAATTATGATAATAACAATAATAATGATAATAATAATAATAAATATCATTATTATAAATACCATCATTATTATAACTATGATACAATGATACTAATGATGATGATGATGATAATTATAATAATGGTAATATTAGTAATAAGGATAGCAATGAGAATGATAATAATAATAATAATAATGATCCGTATTCATGTTGACAAATGTAGAAAAGGTATGAATGCGAATAAATATCTAGAATGGTTTCGATCAAATACATCCTTTGCATTGTGAAGGTATTCTTTCTCATTCATACCTAACAATGATAATAATGATAGTGATAATAATAATAATATTAATAACAACAACAACAATGATAATAGTAATAATGATAATAACAATAATAATGATGATGATGATAATTATAATAACGGTAATAATAATGGCAATAATAATAATGATAATGATAATAATGATAATAATAATCATAATAACAGTAGTAATATAATGATAATGCTAATAATAATAATAGCAATAATGATAATGATAATAATAGTAATAATAATCATAATAACAGTAGTAATAATAGATATAAGGAAAATAATGATGACAATAATATTGATAAAAATGATAATGATAGCAATAATTATGATAATGAATATAATAATTATGATAATGAATATAATAATGATGATAATAATAATAATAATAACAATAATAATAATAATAATAATAATAACTGATGAAAAGAAAAATACTATTATTAATAATGATAGTAATGATGATATTAACAATAATGATAATAACAGTAATAATAATAATAATAATAATGATAATAATAATAATAATGATAATACTAATACTAATAATAATAATAAATAAAAGTCATGATGATAATAACAATAATGGCAATAATAATAATAATCATACCAATAATAATAATAACGATAATAGTAATAATAATAATAATGAAGATGATAATAACAATAACAATAATAATAATCAGCAATATCAATACTCATGACAATGATAATAATAATAGTAATAAAATAATCATAATTATCAATA